TATATTTTTATTTATGTAACAATTTGTATTTCGAAAGTATTATAATAATTTTGTAATAGTACTATAATGATTTCAAATCAATGTAGCAAGTCTGGTTAAAAATAAATACAATCAACCCTAGCAATTTGTGTTATCTTTCACACATTAGACCAACCGGTTATATCAAACCGGTCATAACTCTTTGAAGCTAAACCCTCAACAAAAATGTCTCCTTCTTCTATTCGTCTCCGTGCGTGAGTTCGTCGACGTCGTCTATTCACGGTTTCCCGTTTTGCCTTTTGTCTCCGACAACGCTTTCTATCTCTCTCTCACTCTGGGGAAGATTTGTCTGATTAAGAATCTTGGATCTCCTCTCTCCGATTTTATATTGATCTGGCGAAAGTAGGAATCTCCGAGCCAGAGACAAAGAGAAAGACCTGGTTTTTCTCTGAGATTAGACTCTCTGTTTCTGAGAACTTGCTTATCAGATTCTCGTTCTCCTTAATCAGCCGATTTAAACCAACCGGTCCATTCCGGTTCCGATGTAAAGATGTTAGCTTTAAATTATGCTAAAGGAATCGCTCATCGATTTCTCAGAAATCCCAATTGGTATCTCACATTTTCCCTCTCTTTTTTTCTTGTTTTCAATGTTTCCAATGCCTTGTTCTTTATCAATTTAGCGACTTCTATGTGGTTTCTTCATTGTACTGTGGAAATTTGAAAGTGTTTTGCTTTTCTTCTCTGTGTTTGTCCTTATAGACATTGTTGTATTCTTGGGTTTTTTGCAGGACCTCTGTACACTTCCTGCGTAACCTTCAGTGTCCTTATCACTACCAAAAGTCAAGACCTTTTGTACAAGTTTCATATAAATCAGGTTGTTTTGAGCTTTTACGAGGGCAGAGTCAGAGTTTGTTTGCGTATGGTGGGTTGCTTAATAGACGTTACATGAGTAATTCGACGATACAGTTAAGAACAGATGATAATGTGGTGAGGTTTTCTTTCAACAATGTCCCTGATAACAACAGAAATGTTCCTATGAGGACAGAGAAGAAATGGAAACGAGCTAAATCGTCTAGAAAGGCTAAAGTTAATGAGTTGAGGTTTTACCGTTTAAAGGCGAAAAAGAAGATGAATTCTCCAAACCCTGAAGTTAGGATTCGATACAAGCTTGAAAAGGTTACATCTTTTGCTCATCTTCCCATTAGATTTTCTATGATTGTGTTACCTTCTGATTCGTATTGAACATACATGCATATGATTGTGAATCTTTTCAAGATGTATTATTAGTCAATGGCTATATGTTAGTAGCTCTGACATTGATTCAAAAAATTGACTGTATGCTTGTCCTCTTTATACAGGCCAAGAGAAAAGAAGAATGGTTGATTGAGAAACTAAGGAAATACGATGTCCGGAAATCACCAGCGGAACCATATGATCCAGAAATTTTGACAGAGGAAGAGCAGCATTACCTCAAACGTACAGGTGAAAAGAGAAAGAACTTTGTCCTTGTCGGGAGACGRGGAGTGTTTGGAGGTGTGGTTTTGAATATGCATCTCCATTGGAAAAAGCATGAGACTGTTAAAGTTATTTGCAAGCCCTGCAACAAACCCGGGCAGATTCAAGAGTATGCACAAGAGCTTGCTCGGTTAAGCAAGGGCATTGTGATCGATGTCAAACCTAACAACGCCATAGTATTGTACCGTGGGAAAAACTATGTGAGACCAGAAGTGATGTCTCCTGTTGATACCCTCTCTAAAGATAAGGTATGATGGATCCTTATACTCTATGTTTGGTGTGTTTCTTTTATTTTCCTGACAGAAGTGGAATGAAACTGCAGGCTTTGGAGAAATATCGGTATGAGCAATCGCTTGAACATACAAGTGAGTTCATAGAGAAGCTAGAGAAAGAGCTTGAGGAGTACCAGAAGCATGTTGATCGGTAC